GGGTTCTCTGTGCCTGTGGGGTGCTGATTGCCCCCCCCCTGTCTCTGTCTCTCTCAGGGGGGCTAGACTCAGACGTCCTGGCGCTGCAGCTCTCGGCTGGGGGCGACCGGCGCTGCGTGCCGCTCAAACATCTCAACGCCCCCCTGTACCCTCTGGGGGGGCCATACAGGTGAGATTCCCCCAATGGCCCCCCTCCATCCTTCGCCCCCCATCGTCCCCTCCATGCCCCTGATCACCCCCATCCTGCCCTCTTCCCCCCCTCCCTGCCCCTCTGTGCCGTCCCCCAGCCACCTCCGCGCCCCCCCCTTTGCACTGCCCTGGCCTTGGGTCTCCCAGATGCAGGCCCCTCCAAATTCCACCCCCGTATCAGAAGCCCCCTATCCCATTCTGCCCCCCTCCCCTGGGATTTCCCTCCTACCCATGGGGGGAGGACCCCTGGGTGTCTCCCTGGGTCACTCCAGGCTCCTCACGCCCCATCGACTCCGTTTCCCGCTCCCTCCGCAGCAGCGTCAGCTCCTGTGTCACCAAACTGGCCGAAATGGAGCGGATGGTGCGGGAGGCCATGGCAGAGAGAGAGCGGCTGCTGCAGGCGCGGGTAAGAACCCAGGAGTCCTGGCTCTCCCCCCCACCTCCCGCCGACCCCCAGCTCTGATTCACCAGCCCCCACTGCTCTCTCAGAGCCAGGGAGCAAACCCAGGAGTCCTGGCTCCCAGTCACCCCCCTTTTCTAATCCACTAGACCCTGCTCCCCTCCCAGAGCTGAGGAGAGAACCCAGGGGTCCTGGCTTCCAGCCCCCCCTGCTCTAACCACTAGACCCTGCTCTCCTCCCACAACCAGGGAGCGAACCCAGGAGTCCTGGCTCCCAGCCCCCGCCCTTTTCTAATCCACTAGCCCCAGCTCTCCTCCCAAAGCCAGGGAGTGAACCCACGAGTCCTGGCTCCCGCCCCTCCCCTGCTCTAACCACAGGACCCCACGTCCTCCCACGTGTCTGTCCCATGGTCTCCAGGCCGGGAATAGGGAAGTCGGGGTTTCGCTGCATCAGCTCCTGGCTTCCTCTCCCCCCCCACTCCCCTGCACCAGTCACCAGAGCGGGGGACACAGAGTGGCTGGGATCGGCCATGCATGGGGCGGGGAAGGGGAGGGGCTTGCTTGGAGGTGGGGGCAGGGCCAGGATGGAGGCGGGGACAGAGGGGAGGGGGTGGGCAGGGTCAAGGTGGGATGTGTGGCGGGAGGGGAGCCGGGGGGGCCAGATTGGGGCCTTTTGGGGGTGGAGGGGCGGGTCCCCCCCCCACGGTGGCTACTGGGCCCTGAACCCCCCCCCCTTGTCCCCTCAGGAGGCGAAGCGAGTGGCCCAGGGGGAGACACAACACACGGAGCCGCCCCCCCCTGCCCAGGTGAGGACCCCCCCCTCCCCCGAGCCAGCCAATCCCACCAGGGCTGGATTGGGCCGGGACTTAACGGCGTTCCCCCCCCCACCACACACACATTTATCCCCCGCGTTGCCCATGCAGGACCGGAGCCCGGGGCCGTCGCGGGAGCCCCCTGCCCCCGCCCCCCTGGACCTGCGCGCCCACCTGGAGGCCTCGGGGCACAGCCTGGAGACCTGCCCCGAGGTGCGGGTGACGGGCAGGGCCTGCCGCGGCTTCCTGGTCAAGATGGGCGGGCGCATCAAAACCTGGAAGAAACGTTGGTTCTGCTTCGACCGTCAGCGGCGCCTGCTGGCCTACTACGTGGGTGAGCCCCAGTACTACCCCCCTGACCCCCTCTGCCCCATGGGGGCCCCCGGGTACCCCCGTCCCCCAGCATCAGGGTGATCAGGCAGCAAGTGTGAAAAATCGGGACGGGGGTGGGGGGTAACAGGCTTCTATATAAGAAAAAGCCCCAAATATCAGGACTGTTCCTATAAAATCAGGACATCTGGTCACCCTACCCAGCATCCCCGTCCTGTTCACCCGCCCCCCGGCACCCACCCCCAGTGATGCCTGCTGGCCTACTCCGTGGGTGAGCCCCCCAGGTATCCCCCTGGGTGTCCCCTTCTCTGCTACCCCCCACTAGGGAGCCGGTGCCTCCTGCATCCTCCTGTATCCCTGCCCCCTCCCAGCCCCCCACCCCCCTTCCTAATCGCTGCCCCCTCTCGTTGCAGACAAAGAGGAGGCGAAGCTCAAGGGCGTCATCTACTTCCAGGCCATCGAGGAGGTTTATTATGATCACCTGCGCAGCGCCTTCAAGGTACGCCCGCCCCACAGTGCTGGGACCCACAGTTTCCCTCTCCAGCCCCCCAGCAACCCCTCCCAGCACCAGGACCCATGGCATCATCCCGCCCCCTCAGCCCCACAGTGTCCTCCCACAATCCCCCAGCGCCAGGCCCCACGGTGTCATCCCGCCCCCCAGCACCGGGACCCACGGTGTCGTGTCCCCCGCCCCCCAAACCTCCCTAGTGCTGGGACCCACGGCATTCCCCTCCAGTGCCAGGACCCACAGCATCCCCCCCAGTGCCTGGATGCATGACACCCCCCCCAGCATGGGGACCCACAATGTCCACCCCAACCCTCCAGACCCCCAGCGCTGGGACCCACGGCGTCCTGCCCCCCAGCCCCGGAACCTATGGCATCATCCCCCCAACCCTCCAGCACCCTCCAGCCCAGGTACCTAGGGGGTCCCAGCCACCCCTCCACTGGCTGACCCTTTCCTTCCCCCACAGAGCCCCAACCCCAAACTGACCTTCTGTGTCAAGACCTACGACCGGCTCTTCTGCCTGGTGGCGCCCAGCGCCGAGGCCATGCGCATCTGGATGGACGCCATCGTCACGGCCGCCGAGGAGAACACGCGTTATTGAGCCGGGCCCGTGGAGCGCCCCAGGGACCCACCAAAGACATTGCCCACCTGGTGGGCGTGGCCAGCTGGGCCATTGGCTCCGCCCCTGGGAGGGGCTTGAGGGCAGGGCAGCCAATGGGAGATGGACTTGGTTCTTGAAGGTGTGAAGCCGTGCTGGCCCCGCCCCTTTTGACCTCGACCGTGGTGGGGAGCAATGGGGCGCAGGCGTTTGCCTCCAATCAGAACAGGGCTCTTCAAAAACACAGACATTCCCGGAACTGGCACCAATGGGAGGCAAGCGGCTTTGAATCCCGACCAATGGGAGGAGGCTCACTCAGAATTCTGGCCAATCAGAGGAGGCCTAGTTTGAAGGCTGGGCAATTGGATGCGTGCTCGTCCGGGACCTGCACCAATTGGTGGAGAGAGAGGTTGAGACCTGGCCAACAGGAAAAGACTTGTTCAGAATCTGCACCAATAGGAGACCTGCTTAAATGCCAACCAATGGGGGTGTGGGGTGGGGAACACCTGGTTGGAATTCCCACCAATTGCATGCAGCCTGGCTTTGAAACCTGGCCAATTACCCAAAAGACTGGAATTTGTACCACTGGGAGGAGACATGGACTGAACTGACCAATGGCAGCTTGGAATTCCCATTGACTGTCCAAAATCACGACCAATGGGAGCAGGCTTCTGGGATGCACCAATTGGAGGAGACTGGGATCGAACTGGCCAATGGCGGCCGTGCCTGGAGGGCGCCGTGGCCAAGTCCCGACCAATGGGGAGTGTGGAGTCTCTCGGATAGGGCGGCATTCCCAGCATGCTTTGTGCCATGTGGCCAAGGCTCAGGGGGCCGGGGCTGAGCCCAAACATGGCAGCAGGGGGGGCCCCCTATCCCCCTGGATCTCGTCTGTACCTGCCCCCCCCTTCCCCATGTGTCTGTTGGGGGCCCCAGGTTCGCTGCCCTCTGCTGACGCCAACTATTTATTACAGAAACTCGTCCGACCCACGGGCCGTGTGTGTCTAGTTCTATTGCAGCCGGTGCCCCTCGCTCCCGACCCGAAGCCCCCTGGGCTCCCTCCCCCAAGCTCTGCCGGTGCCCCTCACTCCCGACCCACAACCCCCTGCCAGTCCAGCCCTTGCCAGCTCTGCCGGTGCCCCTAGGGTGACCAGACAGCAAGTGTGAAAAATCGGGACAGGGGGTGGGGGGTAATAGAAGCCTATATAAGAAAAAGACCCAAAAATCGGGACTGTTCCTATAAAATCGGGACATCTGGTCACCCTAGGTGCCCCTCACTCCTGGCCCCCAGCCCACTGGGCTCCCCCCCCATAGCTCTGCCGGTGCCCCGGGTGGATCACAAAGCAGCAGGTGATAGACTGGGAGGTTTGTGACTGGCAGCTCTGACCCCCAGACAGTGGATGTCTCCGGCACACAAGGATTGGTGGGGCCTCCCAGAGCAGGGGAGAGAACCCAGAAGTCCTGGCTTCTAGTCCCCCCTGCTCTAACCACTAGACCCCACTCCCCTCCCAGAGCTGGGGAGAGAACCCAGGAGTCCTGGCTCCCAGCCCCCCTGCTCTAACTACTAGACCTCACTTCCCTCCCAGGGATGGTGATAGAACCCAGGATTCCCAGCCCCACCATGCGCTAACCACTAGACCCCACGCCCCATCCTGAGCTGGGGAGAGAACCCAGCAGTCCTGGCTCCCAGCCTCCCCGCCCCCAAGCTTAACCACAACCTCTCCTGTGCCAATAGCACCGAGTCACAAGGAGCCCTTTGTCTCCGGCTGAGCCGGGCCTGCGCTGGGGAGTGCCAGGCTCCCTCCCTCACGTCGGGGCTGGGCTCAGGTGAAGCGAACAGGCCAGAGACGTTCAAGGAGAAGCCGTTGTTTTAATGGGATGATCCATGGTATGAGTTTGTGGGGACTCAGACCAAACTGCCACTGGGACAACCCGGCCCCCTGGCTGGACGCCCGCCCTGGGGGGATGTAGGAAGGGCCAGGCCCTAAGAGAATGAGAGGCACATTGGTGGTAGAGGTGGGATGGATGGGTGTGCACAGGGTGGATCTGTGTGTGTGGGGGAGCATTTGGGGGGTGGGAAGGGAGGGTGGGACTGTTCACCCCTACCCAAGCTGCTGTCTGTTCTGCAGACCCACAGACAAATCTCTCTAGGACAGGGAAGCACATTGGTGGGGCCGGTGGGATACCTCATGGCTGGGTGTGGGAGGGGCTGTGTGCGCATGCGGGTGTGTGTGTGTGTCTGTGTTGGGGGTGGGCAGAGGCTGTGTTTGTGGAGCTCTTCCTCCGAGTGCTTTGGGGGTGGATGGAAGAGTCTGGTTCTAGGACAGCTGCACTCATGTTGGTGGGGGAAGTGGGATGGATAAAGGCTATGGGCGGGGGCGCTGTGAGAGTGTGTGTGTGTGTGTGTAGCCCTCTTTGCCGCTGTCCCCGCTCTGGGGACGTCCGCAGGTCTCCGGTCAGGAAGAAGCACATTGGCGTTTGCGGTGGGATGGCTGGGGGCTCCTTTGGCATGTGTCTCTGTACTGCTCTCTTCGCCACTGCCGTCCGTGCCACGGCCCCCACCTCACTCAGTCTCTGTCTCCCTCGGCCCCACAGGCCCCGCTCCCTCGGGGTCTCTCAAGCCAGGTTGGGGGCCACCGAGCTCTGGGCCAGCCCGTCCACGGAGGAGGCTGCCTCCTTCCTGCAGCTGTGGGACCTGGCTGAGTAGGCCATGTCCTCAAGCAGGGCCCGGCGGAAGGCCCCGGCCAAGGTGGTCCGGCCCAGCGCCCGGCGGAAGTCCAGCCCCATGAAGAAGTAAAGGACGGGGTTGGCACAGCTGTTGAGATAGGCCAGGGAGGAGGCGAGAGGCAGCCCCACGGCCATGGCCTGGCCCTTGACGCCCGCCAGCTTGAGGAGGAGGAAGAGATGGTAGGGGGCCCAGCAGAGGAAGAAGGTCACCACGATGGCCGCCATGACCTTGAAGGGCTTCCTGGAGCGGATGGTGGCCGGGCGCCGCCTCAGCACGGCCGCCAGGGCCCCGTAGCAGGCCAGGATGATGGCGAAGGGGGCCAGGAAGCCACAGAGCAGCCGGAGGAGATATAGCATCAGCTTGGGTCCTTCTCCCAGCGTCAAGGAGCACTTGAGGCCGTGGGTCTTCCCGTCCGGGACCAGGTTGCGGTAGAGGTAGAAGGGCAGGCTGGCCGCGGCGGCCACCCCCCATGCCCCGGCAGCGGCCGCCCACGCCAGGCGGGGCCCCCGGCGGTTCTTGGACCACACCGGGAAGGCCACGGCCGCCAGGCGGTCCAGGCTGATGGCCGCCAAGAGGAAGACACTGCAGAACATGTTGAGGTATTTGATGAAGCTGGTGGCCTGGCACAGGAAGGCGCCGAAAGGCCAGTGCCCGCGTGTTGCGGA